TCAAACTATAAACCAAAGTTGAGGGATATTTTTTACCCTTTTCCCATTTTAAAATAAATATTATGAGCTCTTACCTACTACAAATATATGTAAAGATTTAATAGCTATAATTTTATTAATTTTAAAGTCTTAAATATTACTATGATAATACTCTTTCTAGTTCATATTAAGTGTATTATAGGATATATATATGATACACCCCTTAAAAAAACATAAATTATGTTATAAATTTAGAGAAAATGGTCTAAAACCCCCCCAACCTATACCCGAAATCCCAACTACACACTCCAACTTCACGGGTGTCCTATTACCCACCTGAACTTTAAATTTCTATATTTTCTACACACCTAAGTGCTGACCTCAACACATAAACCAAATAATTTGACCTGCGTGATTCCACGCGCTGGGTCCCGCTCCTATTCAACTCCCATTTCTTGTTTTTTCCCCCAATTCCCTCCTAAAACGTAAAAGAACAGAAAAAAAATTCTCCAACCCGATTTTTCAATCCTTCTTCATTAGCAATGCATTTCTGGTGATCATCAAACGAATTTGCTATCATCAAACGATTTTTCTGTGTATTGTCAACTTCATTTCGTAGTTTATCAACTGATTTAGTAAAAGGTTAGTTCTTTTATCCCTTATTTCGAGTTTGTGATTTATCCCCTAGGGTTTCTGTTGATTCGTGAAATTAAGAGCAACATTGTGTGAAATCTTATGTGTGGCTTACGATTATAGTGTTAGGTGTTCATTTACACCATATTATGCCACATTTTTCATGAAATTAGGTTTTTCCCATTCTCATCTAAGTCGCGTAATTTTGTATTCTGTTCGTCTTAGTATTATGTTCATGGAGTGTTGTATTTATGTTCTTCTTAGTATTATGTTCATAGAGAAGTTGCTAGTCTACTATTGTGTTGTATTTATGTTCATAGAGAAGCTAAGTATTGTGTTGTATGTGTTGTATTCTATTCGTTTTTAAGTAGTATTCTATTTTTTGGATTGCCCTCAAGTTAGAGTATGCCTATAATTACTATTCTGTTTTTTTATTGCCTTCAGGTAAGAGATGAATGGGTTTACTTTGATTACTCTAAGATGGTACCATGGTGGGGTGTTAGATTTAAGTAGTGGGGAACCAATATATAATGGTGGAAAAGTTACCGAATTTTTGGATATTGATGTAGATAAAATGTCATATTTTGAGTTGAAAGACTATATTAGAGAATTGGGATATAGTACAGCTTGCACCTTTAGTATTAAAGGACCTAACAGTGGCATTTTGGTAGATGTTGATAATGATAAGGATATTTTAGACATGATGTGTTCCTTGGAAGATGGGGATGAAGTGGAGGTATTTGTTAGGCATTTGGTAGATGAGGCAATTGTGGGCCCCATGTTAATAGAAAATGGTAGTCATGTGGATATGGGAGAATCTGGTTCAGCTTTTAATACAAGGCCTAGTGAGAGTGAAAACTTTAACTTTGGGGTAAGTGAAGACCATTTAAACAGTGAGGACCATGTTGCTACTTTTTCAACCTCGCCTCATTTCACTACCACACCTCCTTTCACTACTGCTACTGCAGATGGTGCTACTGATGATGATATAGATGTTGGCCCTGCTGGACCTGATTTCTCAGAAGAAGAAGTAGAGGGTTCTGATTATTCAACTGAGGATAGTGTTGAGTCTGAAGCTGAATTAGTTGGAGATGATGATGAGGAAGAGTATGGTAGTGATGTACATGAGGAGGTTAGGGAGTTGAGGGCTGAAAAGAGAAGTTTTCAAAGGAGGAAAAGAAGGGAAAGAGTAGCAGCAGACAATGAAGAGGTACCAGTAGGTGAAGCTGGACCAGATCTAGGTTTTGATGAAACTGGAACAGGTAAAGCAAGTCATGAAGGAAGGCTAGGAGGTGATGAGCCTTACTTTGCAAGTTCTGATGAGGATAGTTTTGATTTAGATGAAGATGAGTGTTGTAATGATGATGAACATGAATCTGGTAGATCAAGAAAGGTAAAGTTGTCAAGAAAGAGGACTTCAAAAACTCAAAAAATCATTCATGATCCTACTGCAAAGAAAGTTGTGTGGCAGTTGGGCATGGTGTTTAAAGATGTGAAAGAATTTAGACAAGCAGTAACTAAATATGCAGTTAGAA